AATTTCAAAACCATAATGCCATTTATCAAAAAGCACACCCATTTTACTGAACTATGAACACTATTCCCCTGTTTTGACACATTAGTCAGATTTGTTGAACTGTCACAGCAAAACTCTACACACACATCCCTTCATTTCTCATTGCCTACACCACGTGGTCATTTAGAAAGCACTAGCATTCAATATTGTTCACTCAAGTCAACTCAGCTTCAGCTCAGTTAGCACACAATTACCCAGGTGAAAACACTAAGAGTCAAAATTGAACACACATCAGTCAGATCCTTCAATAGATAGATAGATAAAAGGTTATACAATCTTTTATAAAAGATAAAAATCAGTTTACTGAGTTTTGGAACAATGGATCCACAGAAAAATTAAGCAATAGGTCGAGGAGGGAGAGGAAGAGGAGGGAGAGGAGAAAGAGCAGGAGGAGGAGGGAGAGGAAGAGGAGGAGGAGGAAGAGGAATAGGAGGAGGAAGAGGATGAGGAAGAGGTGGAGGAAGAGGAGGAGGAGGAGGAAGAGGAGGAGGAGGAGGAAGAGGAATAGGAGGAGGAGGAAGAGGAATAGGAGGAGGAAGAGGAGGAGGAGGAAGAGGAATAGGAGGAGGAGGAAGAGGAATAGGTGGAGGAAGAGGAGGAGGAAGATGAGGAGGAATAGGAGGAGGGAGAGGAATAGGTGGAGGAAGAGGAGGAGGAGGAGGAAGAGGAGGAGGAATAGGAGGAGGGAGAGGAATAGGTGGAGGAGAAGAGGAGGAGGAGGAGGAAGGGCAAGGGCAAGAAGACAAGCAGTCTCGGATGAAACTCAAGCCACTTTAGTTGGCCATGTCCTTGTCCATGGTATGACTAAGGGAGGCTGCGCAACGAGTACAGCCAAATTTGAGTCGCTTCACCGTCGCCTCCATCATCAGATCCTTCAGGGAGGTGTGGTGGCAAACAGATTTCTATCACTGAATAAGAGACAAACATTTCCAATTGTCTTTGATGAGGTTTATGTTCTTGCAAGAAAAGGCCAGCAGTCGTACAGTCACACAGAGTGGCTGCAGAGTGTGACAGTGAAGAGGGCATCCTTCCCCATTTATAGTCTTGACTCCCAGAATGTTATCTTTCTAGGCCAATGATGGTATTTCAACCATATGTGGAACATTCTTAGACTTGTTCATCATATTGTATCCTTGAGTGGAGGCATGTACCAACACTCTTTACCATTCCAATACTTTGAACCATATTTGAATAAGGTTTGTGTGCTCTTTTACTGTCATATGATGCTCACACACATCTTGAGTAGAAGCGAGTAAAAAAAAAAAGATGGATGGACCACAAGCAACATGACTTACCAGTTTTGGAAATGTTGTTTTGAATTTACAGCACCAGTGTGTAAGACTATGTTGTAGTGTGTGTATTTCTGAGGGCTTGTGTGTCCTGTCTGAGGGCAAAGTTTGGTTTTTCAGCAAGAGTGAATGGTTTTGAGTGTAGAGCTTCATTTTGACCTGAAAATAGGATGTTTGGAGAATTGGGTGAGACGTTATGGATTTGTGTTTACTGTTTTGAGAATACGAGGCATAGTTTCAAGAAATGTGTTTAAGCAATCGAGAAAAACTGTAAGCAGCACAACTCTTTTCAACATTGATAATAATAAGAAATGTTTATTGAGCAGCAAAATCAGCATATTAGAATGATTTTTTATTTCAAAATATTACTGTTTTTACTGTATTTTTGACCAAATAATTACAGCCTTGGTGAGCATATGAAACTTTGTCAAAAATATATATATATAAAAAATCATACCAACCCCAAATTTTTATACAGTAGTGTATATCTTTTCATTAGAAATTAAATGATCAGTATAACAATTTCAGTGACCAGAAGAATATCTTCTTAGTATTTGGTTTGAATTTCTTAGAATTTGGTTTGTCCGCTTTTGCTTTAATGACAGCATTGCTCGAGCAGAAGTTTAATTAGTGACCTAAAAATAGCGCAAAATCATAAACATTCCTTATTTTGACATAAGGTTCTACATTTTTCAAAATGTAGAAAAATAATTAGCTTATTTCCAGGTTTCCAATGTGGACCCAATTGTACATGTACTGTATCAGTGGGTAATAGAGTTTCAATACAGTTGCTCATTCACAGTTCCTAAAATAACCTCAGGGAAACAGACAGGGCCGTGCACAGACCTTTTGAGGGGCATGTGCTGAAACTGAAAAAGGGCACCCCCGACCCCCTCCCTTTTTTTTAATATCAAGATTATTTAGTAAGCCTACATAAAAGGAGGAAATGGTCACATCATCATGACAAATTCAATACAAAATAATATTCTCAAAAGCTTTAGATTTATTCACTATTAATAACAACCATAATGATAATATAGATATACAGGGTTTCAGGGCTTCTTTAAACCTAATTACAACAGCAACCTTCTGTGAGCTTGAAGATGTTTATGACTTCACTGTGATCCACTGGGCTGTCCCTTTCTATGGCTATGAGGAGAAGGTCTGAGAGTCTCTCCTCTGAGCAGAGGCTTCGGAGTTGGTTCTTAATTAATCTCATTTTGGAAAAGGATCTCTCCACAGTTGCAGTTGATGGCAAAAACCTGATACTGTGGAGGACCAATGTTGGTCTCTTGAAGGTCTTTTATTCACTACACTTCCCATAAAATAAGGCAGCAATGAAAACAAATTATAAAATAGTGTGAAAAGTACAGTTGCAGTGAAAAGCATTTCTGAAGGATCACATGACACTGAAGTCAGCTTTGACCACAGAAATAAATGACATTTTAAAATATATTAAAATAGTATTTTAATATATAATTTTAAATTGTAAAAATATTTCACAATTACTGTTTTTGCTTATTTTGGATCAAATATATTAAGCCTTGAAATGAATGAAATCATGAATTACATTATGCATGATAAACATTCTGCAGAAGTGATCAGAAGTGAAAACCACGTTTTACTACATTTAGACATGTGAGGATGACCGGAGAGTATAAAATACTATAGATTCAAAAATTAGACAGCGAATACGTGCATATTAACAGCCTTGAATTAACCATAATTTAATATATGTTACCTAGGTGACGAGGATGTGTAGTTCCAGTACGAACAGCGCGGGGGCGCGCATGTGCTTATGATTCTCCGATGGAAACGGCGCCGGCGGCATCATTACATTTTAATCAACAGCTTACCAACTAGATTGTTTTTGAGAGTGAGGAGTCACGTGCCGATTTGGGCGGGGTCTGAGCCGGTCGGCCATGATGGTAGGAGACGCTATCGGTTGCCAGGGGCAACGCCTTCAGAACTTCACAGAGGCGCGACTAAAACATTCCAGAAATAGCGAGAGAGAGAGACAGCGCAGCTTAGTATTTGTTTACATTTTACCGATACGCCGCAGTTTCTTTGGAAGATATGGAGAAGGAAGAGAAATGAAAGGGGTTCTATCGGGAGAGACTAAATAACAATGCTAGCCAGCTTAGAGAAACTGCTTGTCAATAAACTGACAGCAGCAACAGCGAGCAAAGCCTGCTTTCAAAAGCAACACATTTCAGCACAGTTCGCCTTTTATTTAATACAAACGAACGAAATTAATACTCTGTTATTCATCTAGAGTTGTTTTATTTGTTATAGATATATCTGTACCGCGAAATGTTTTAAAAATACACTTTTTTTACGATTCGCATTGACAGGGGAATGTCCGAACTGTTCCCTTAACGTTGCACGGCAGGTGCAAATGCACGTATCTGATTCATATCAGATTTATTTCCACATATGAATGAGGCCTGAAACATCAAGTATGACTGAACTCTCGCAGTTTAACGTTACAGGTTTGGGGGTTTCTAAGTCTTGCACAGCCGCAACAGACTTGTTCAGCTTCTAATGACTTAAACCTTCTGAACTCTTGCATTGTGTAGGCTGTAACGTTAGTCACTGATACCATAAACAAACCAGGTAATTAACTATGTCAGCGTATGTGAAAGGTGGTTGTGCTTTGGGTCTTTCGTCCATTCTGTAGCAGGTCGTACGGGTCCATGTTGATGTCAAGTAGTTTCTCTAAATAACGCTGCTTGGTGTTGTTATTTAGTCTCTCCCGATAGAGCCCCTTTCCTTTTGCTTCCCCCTTCTTCATTTATTCCCAAGAAACTGTGCCTTATCGCAAAAATGCAAACAAATATCAAGCTGCTCTCTCTCTCTGTCGCTATTTCTCTCGGTCTCACGGTCGAAGTAACCATGACAACGGATAGCGTATCCTACCAAGATGGCGAATCCATCCCACAATGCAACGCGGAGTGATACGCGTGACGTCACCTTCTCATTCTCAATAATATAGCTATATAGGCGCTCAGTTTTTCCTGTTGTAAAATACATTTGGTCAAAATCGCATTTTATAAAAAATGAAATGCTACTGTATGCACAGGCTATTTAAGTGTAGGCTATGTATTGGCTATGACTATGGCAAATGCTAGCATAGCCCTCTCTGTCAGGTCCCACATATCTTAGTCAGACATCAAATAAATAAAATATGAGCTTTTATAGCGACGTGTTTAGTACTTAATCAAACAACAAGATCTTTGTTTACCCTTGCAAAACTTCGTTCAGCTGCTGTCTGCTGTGCGGCCGCTGCGGAGCTTCAGTTCATTCAGTCACGATAGAGGGGGCGGAGTTATCAGCTTTACTGACAGTTTGAGGATCGAACAAGATTTACACAAGCTCTTTTTAAGATCTTTCATTCGCTAAATATTTTTAAAACAGACAGATAGACTTAAAGGGTGACCAATAGCATTAATCTATATATACATTTTTTTTTTTTTTTAAACCACCATCACCAAAAAAAGGGCACTTTGACAAAAAGGGCATGTGCTCTGCACAGGTTGAGCCCTACCTGTGCACGTGCCTGGAAACAGACACTTATCTTTCAGAACGTATTAATTTAAAACCATTAATATGAAATCCAGACTTCTACAGAGAGTTATTGATAGAATAAAGACATTATAATATACTATTTACCCAGCATGCCTGCTCCAGATCGAGAGGTGTCAGGGGAGCTGCCTCCGCCATTCTTGCTCTTAAAGGAAGTGAAGAGGTGTTTGCACAGTTCCTCAGGGATGTCATTCTCCAGGTAGGTCGTCATGAATAGCTGGAAACCCTCATAGTCGATGGGCTACAGGAGACAAGTGGAGAGTTGATGAGAAATGAGAAGATGGGAAACCTGTGAGATGAAATAAAGCCATGAATATTCAGCTTCCTGCTCCTTTTTTTTCTCAGCAGACAGAATGTTCCTGTCTCTGGGCATGAATGACACGCTCAAGCATTTCTTTATGAGACACAGCAACAAAAATACAGAGGGAGCTCACTGACACACATTGAAGTACAGTAAAAACATACATTTGAAAATTTTAGACACTTAGACACAAAATCATCTGAGGTTACAAAAACACCATGAAGACACATGGCTAACACTGAAAAGCACTGGGCATGATCTTTGACCTTCAGTAGACATTATGACCCAAGCTTGACTTTCTTGTTAGACAGGGATGGGCCGGGACATGCAGTCTGTAGACACATCGAACCACAGAACATGCAAACCCAGAAAGTAACATCTTACTTGGTTGAGAACATCTTGCTTCTGTGTGGCAGTCAGAGATATATGGAGAGGGTAGAGGGAGAGAAGGGTTATATACACTGCAGTGGTTGTTCGTGCAGAGGGAAGCGATCAGAGAATGGTGTTAACCGTCATATCCTCTGGTGCTCTGATGCTGAATAAAATTCACATATTCCATCTTTAATGCTGTATGGCATTAGTCCACCCGCACCATACTTAATGCTGTTCTGCAGGTTTATTTGCATAATCCTGACTTACTTCTTTAAAGCTGCAGTAGGGAGTTTTGAGAAAACGTTGACTTAGCCTGAAAATTTGAACAAGCACAACTTACAGGTCCCACCCCCTTGCTCTCTGCTGCGCTACAGCTCGTCCTCCACCACAGCTCGTCCTCCACAGCGGAGCCTGTCGTGAATGCGCAGGCTAGTAAACAGGGCCACCGATGACGGCGGATAAAAAGTTATATGGCACATTCACTAATAGGGACTAAACGTCAATAATATGCTTTACATTGACTATGGCCTGCCCATACTTTGACTACAAACTTGGTCCTCAAATCATTATGTATTTTCCAATAGCCTACATGTCACTTTATAACGTTGCACTCTTTCTATAAGTAATAAATAGCTAGTAAGATAACGTTAATATAACGGTAACTAACATTACAGTATGTAAGTAATTATTCTAGCGATATATAATGCTAGATAAGGTGTGCTAGTACATTATTTCAGCAACATGACAAGCCAGTGAATGGGCTCTATGCACGGTGGTATTTCCGGTGAAGGTCTAAGGATGCTGGATTACTTCCGCCGATCGTAGAGTCCAATGCTATACCGAGAATTTATATTGGTTTTTATACTCTATTGCTACACTAAAGAAACGTTAGTCACAAAAACAGACAAAACAGACACTCCTCATTTTGTTTATGCTTCTGTGTTTATTATATTAAATAAACATAACTATATATAAAATTACATCTAAACGTATTATAGTTTCGTTTCAAAGACGAGAGGACAGTACATTTTGAAGACTCTGCCATAATCCCGTTTTCCTCGGTTTTCCTCCGCTTTAAATCTCCCCAACCGGAAACGCACGAGCATCCTTGCGTCAAACGCGGAAGTTATGCGTGCATATAGCCCATTAGCAGGTTTCAATTGTTGCTTAGCAGAGCGCGTGACATTTTATCTACATGTTATGCGGCTAGAGTTTTGACACCGAGTCAATGGGCTCTGTGTAATTCTTTCTTTTTCGCTTGTTTATCGTCATCGGTCTTTTTCCTTTTACCTCTTTGTTTTATGAGCAGGTGTCACTCGAGAATTGGCAGTTTAGGTTGTTTCTCCGTCATAAGCACAGCTGCAGCTCGCCGGCAATCTTGAGTTTGAACGACGGCTCGCGCTCCGGCGCTCGCGCTGTGCAAGAGAGGGGTGTGATCAGCGCGTACACGAGCGTGATTGACAGTGCTAAGACCAAGGGGGTAATCCATCGACCGGAAGTTGAAGCCGGCCGGGTGCCGCCATGTTGTAGCAGAACTTCACTTGCGTTAGCATTTCCATTGACTCCCATTCATTTTGGCGTCACTTTGACAGCGAATAACTTTACATCTGAGGCGTTTAAAGACTCCATTTGTCCATTATTTATTTCTAAAGAAACACGACAATGTATAAAGGGCTCCATTACCTTCTATGTTACATTATGGCCCCGTAGAAACAGATTTAGTAAAAATAGGCTAACGACTGCGTCATAACCACTCGACTCTCTGTCGCGCTGTACAGAAATTACCGTACAGACAGGAGGAAAAGCTCGCAGGCAATCGGGGGGACGTCCCGTCAAGGGAGAAGCCCATAGATAATGAGTCCATAAAAGCAACGGAATACTTACTCCTGCTCACTCACGCCAAAGAACTCTTTGCTCAAGTTCCCCGTCTCTGCAAGATTAACGTTGGCAATTTTCACACACAGCTACTAGAAGATTTACGTCTGTCAGACAGGTTGCTCACGTCATCAAGCTTAGTTTGAGTCGGTTTGAGTCTGCGCGTCAGGAATGGAAGTGCTCAAAAATCGCTAAAAATGGGCTTCAACTGTCTCAACTGAGTTCCAATGAGATGGCTCTGTCCACTTCTTATACTGTCTATGGCTAAGACATGCCTCCTGGCTCTGATTGGTTGTTTCTGACCGGGAGCGTGTATTTCTTGCAAATGGCAATAGGACCACTGGGAGGAGCTGAACTAAAAAGGGGGGAGACTAAAAAGGGGAAAGCTTTATTACTCTTAATGAAAACTAAATCCAAACATTTTTGTTAACTGAAATAAAAGCTAGCATAGCTGGGAAAAAAAAACTAAATACACTAACCTTAAAATTTTGGGAGTTGATAAGATTTAAAAAAAAAATGTTTTAAAGAGTTTCAATGCTCACCAAAGCTACATTTATTTGATCATAGTGTGAAACATTATTACAATTTAAAATAGCTGTTTTCTATGTGAATATATTTTAAAATGTAATTTATTCTTGTGGTGGCAAAGCTGAATTTTCAGCATCATTACTCCAGGCTTCAGTGTCAAATGATCCTTGAGAAATCATTCTAATATGTTGGTTTTGCTGATCAAGAAACATTTCTTATTATCACCCATGTTAAAAACAGTTGTGCAGCTTAATATATTTTTCAGGATTCTGAAAGAATAACAGTAATATAAATTTTAGCTATATGGTATATTATAAAACTCTTTACAACCCACTGATGTTAAACATTAAATGGCCAACAGATACCAATAACACCAGGCTGTGCTAGGAAAATAAAACAGAATTAAATAAAAAAATTAATAAACTGAAACTAGAAAACTCTGAAAAACAAAAACTAACAATAATAGAGCAAAAACTAACATTGAAATAAAAGAAAAACAAAAGTTGAATTAAACTAAAATATAAATAACTAAACAAATAAATAAAAAAGTACAACTAAAATCCCTGGAAGAGATTTGATATGACAGTGGAATTTATTTACATGTTTTGTGATTTAGCCTGTTAACCTTCACCAGTGCGTGGGCGCTCGGAAGCGTTTTTTTTTTTAAATAGTTCAAAGTTACTATCATATTTAATGTTATTAACTTGACAAACTATACATCATTAAAACGATATAAGACTCAAGTTTCAGTATTTGACCACTATTGTATTCTGTGAAACTTATAGTGACAGTTATGTCTTAATTTGTGTCAGGAGTTATGAAATTAAAAAATGAGTCGTTACCTTTAATATGAGTTATGAGCGTCAGCCGGTCTCATTCAGAAAAAAACTCCCGTGCGATCGTCATGACAGTGCTTGACAAAACAACATCCCTCAGGGCTTTTAGCTCAAACATGTGCAGATTTGGAGAAATATTGATAGATTCTCATAGGTTTACATCAGACTTCTATAGACAGGAATAATATTTATTGAATTTATACCCAAATGCGTCGATGTAATCATTTTGAGCGCTGTATACTCTGATGTACTGTGTTATCAATTCATACTGAAAGTCTGGGGCGCTGTTTGCACAGTAAAGTCCATATATGGATCACATGAAGAAGAGCCATAATCATGTGACATTCAGGAAGTCCTGACACAACAAAGCTATCCGAGATCGCTGTAAAGTGCAGATAAAGATGTTTTGAAGACAATAAACATGATTGCAATGATATTTGATTTACCTGTGTTCTTCGAGTCATGTCAGGTATTTCCATAATAATAGATTATATGTATAATGTAATGCTAATCGAGATAGACTTTCAAATTGTGCAGAATACAATAAAATAATATATTTTCTATCTGATATTTTTATCTGAAGCCAAATCAGATTACATAAAGTTATTTAAAACACTCGACTTGCGCTATAAAGTAAGTTTGGAGCACAAACATAGTTTTATTCTCATAAATTGTCGTGTATTGATGGTGTGCTAAGCTAACATGCTAGCTAGTACTGAGCACCTGCTACCTAACTTCGGTGTAATTTTTATGATTTTTTTCTAAATAAGAATGCTTACTGAAATGTTTCGTTTTTCAAAAAGGGCATTTGATACAGTTTCACTGTGAAGTGAGAACTTTTATAAAATAAATGAGGGATTGAAACAGTGTGAATTGCTAGTCGTTAGTGATTATAATGCAGACAAAAGAAAAGCATATTTAGAGCAATAAACAGGCTGGAGAGGTGTGAATATGTGCAGGGGAGACTGAGACTGAATAGGGCTCGTTTTTGCATCACAAAACAATAGAGGCAATAGACTGAATAGATGCTTATAAGATGACAATAAACACCAGTCTAATCAAAATAAAGTCATATGACATGATCTTGAAAAACATTGAACTAAATACAGAGTTTTAGACTTATCATCTTCAGATTTTAAATATAACATGGCCAGACATGTGGCTTTAGCTGCAGTGCATTTCTAGATTGCTACAATGCCAACTTCAATTTTATTTTCATGAAGATGTTTCATAAAAATAAATGTATAATAACTTTACAAAACTTTGAAGCTATTTATAACTATTTTTTTTCATTATGACAATAATTAATTCTACATTTACAATAAACTTCCAGGTGTCAGCTTTCAAATGAGATCTTACTTGTGCTTTTAGTACAAAGGGTTCATGAACTGTATCTGTTTCAGTTTGGGAATGCCATATCTGGGGATTTTTCAAAAATGGGCTTGAAGCTTAACAGGCTAATAATTCACATAATTATATAATTATATAATTATATTCACTATTATTATTATTGTGCTATAATAATAATAGCACATAATTCACTAAGGTAAATATGCAAATTGGGTACTGGCACAAATGCACCAACAAATCTGTGCTGAAGATCATTTTCATGGGACTGCGAGTTAAGGTTCACAACCACTAGTTGGCGCTGTCGGCCCTAATCGACTAGTCGGAAACAAAATGGTGTCAGGCGTTGAGGTACCTATGCGTCCAAAACGGTCAAGGTCATCCTATGTGTGGAAATACATGCATGCTAGATCCACGGTTTAAGCACCTGAAGTTTTTCCCGGAAAA